CCTCCCCTCCCCTCTCCTCCCCACTGGAAGAGAAATATCGTCATTCCTTCGCCCCCTGGAAAAGCTGTTCTCGCAGTCCTGAATTTAAACATTCGGCACTACTCTTCAGTCCTCACGACTCGTTCTACGGCCAAATATAAGCAATGCGATTTTGGCACAGATATTTTTGTCGATACACAGGATCATACGTATAACATAACTCAAAACTCTTATAGATTTTTACTTAACTTAATGACGTATACGAACGCATAAAGTGTATAAATGTATCTCGATGGTTTCATGACCCAGCACTATGAGTGGATCCCGCTTTCAGAAGATCAAATTTGGACTTCCCATTCAGTTGCGTTGACACGCCAGCTACCAGCTTACGGGGCACAAGGCGCACAGCGTTGGAGTGGACTGGAGGCACCTTACAAGGGCATGCCTACTTTGCGTGTGCTGTGCGAGAACCTTGTCAGACCGACCGTGTTCTATGTCCGGATGAGAGTTTGTGTGGTGCGTGTATTTGATTGATTAGTTATTCCAGACGCATCAACTGCTAAGGTTACTAGTCGCATGAGCATATTTTTTCGCGGGAGACGGCGGTCAGCTTCCCCGCTGGAGGGCGAGATTCGGAGCCGAGCCGTCCGATCCAGCGACGACCAAAGTATCTCCCACCACCAGGTATCTCCCACCACCAGGTATCTCCCACCACCAGGTATCTCCCACCACCAGGTATCTCCCATCACCAGGTATCTCCCACCACCAGGTATCTCCCACCAGGTATCTCCCACCAGTGGGGTACCTCCCCAACAGGGACAAGCTCTAAGCTCCCAATTGGTCTCCCAGCGTGTGTGATAGTGTAGTGCATGTAGGCGTGTGTTCATAGCAGAAGGTGAGAATAGGACAAGGAAAAGAAAGGACAGATCGCGTACTGTTCTTGTCCCATTCGTTAGGATACTTCTCCGACATTCGCCTGGTGTGGTGGGATCGGAGAAACCACGGAAAATAACTGATCAGAGCAGCCGACCGCTGGAATTCTCCTCCATTCGACTGCCCGCTTCACTCCCCCCCCCCTCTCCCGACACTAGCAGTCAAGCTGGTGTCGAAAATTCTGCCACCGTCTGTGCTCGAACCTACGACCTACCGATCAGAGGCACTGCAGTGACATCAGTTGATGCTCTGAGCGATCTGTTGAAGCCGTTTGCTGCGTGGAACACTATTATACTATGTGAACACATGTGCTTGTTTTCCCCTGTGAGTTTGCATGCAGCGAGAGAGAGAGTGTATTTAAGATTATACAAATGATGTTCCAGGGGTATGTGAACATTCTGGACAATTCGAGCGAATGAACTCAGGTAGTCTGTCATGATTTCCATCGAACGTTTACGCGGCGTAATCGGGAGGCCAGTTTTGCACAAAATCCTCCACTGGCAACACTTCCGGAATTTTGGACGACAAAAGAAAGAGGGTGGATCGATACGTCTGCAGGAGAGTTCCAATGACTAGTTGAGTTCATGCCACGTCTCTACACCATGATTTACTGCACTTCGCCGGACAAAGAAGGTCCCGTACGTTATTAGGAGGTATCCCACGGCTTTTGTCACCTCGAAGTGTATGTCACTAAAAATGAAAATAGAAAGGTCGTTCTATTTTGTTGATTTCCAACGTGTGGGAGATAAAGCATATGCGGAATGAAAGTGTGCAGATACGAGTTCTACAAAAGGCGTGAGAGTTTTAATGTGTTTGTAACGTGTATTTTTATCATGCAAGTACATATCTCATTTGGATCATAAACCATTCACAAACATTTATCTCATATTACCATTCATCCCCCTCCGTTTACTTATATCAAATGAAAGACATTACTATAATCATTCGCCCAGAAATCGGGAGAACACAGAGCTGTAAGCCGCGACTCATCATCCACAATTACTTTCTAAATTGATCATGTCCCTGAGGCATGATCTACAAATTATTGTGTAACCCATATAACATTTTTAACAACATTCATCTTTTCATAATTAACCGGGAACATCGTTGCCTTTGAAATCAACCTACTAAAATGAAAATTATGTTGATAAAGGCAATGCCAGTCTTTCTCGTGTGACACGTAGATATGACTACAGCGTAGTATTCAATTTTCTGTGACGTGGAGATTTGGAGGGGAGTTCTCAGTTTCTGACAGTAATGAGGCCGCGGTAACCCCAGTCGCCAGCGTCACTGGAGTCAGGTGGCAGAGCACACCCCAGGGCAATTCAGAGTGACCTCAAATGACATTGGGTATGTCCACAGCGAATTTTCACTGGAGGTAACCTACAAGAAAATGTCGGGAGTGAAATCTGACTCTCGTATTTACAATTCTTTATGTTCAAAAGTAGAACATAATTTAATTTCTTTACACAAAAATGATTTTTTTCTTTTCAAACTATAATTAAGAGGTTCAAAGCGCGATCCTCTAGAAGTCCGTGATGCGATTTTAGGGAGTTCCTAGTAGGGTCACGAAGAATAATTTTGTGCTACTTGCGATTCTTGCTACTGGTTGCCACGTTCCATGAAAGAATCGAATTGACTTCCTCTGGTATTCATTATCGCTACGTTTTGGGAATCCGACAGCGCGTGATCCCAGAAATTGCGGGTACCTGCGCACAGCTCGCCCATACGTGC